ACAATGCTGTATTACAATTAATAATAGAGAGTTAAGTTCGACTTCCGATACCAATACCGATACTAACAACATGTCATGCGCATGCTATCTGCTTGCAAGAAACACGAGGACAAGTGTATTGTAAGTCACCACTACCGAACTCGGCTTTGTATTGGAAGTCGGGGGAATTGTAAGATAAACTCATATAAATCGGATATTTCATAATTTTTACGATAAACATGTAAACTATTTGTTTATTAGCATCGCCTGAGTCATGTTTCAGTCGGAATTTTAGCTCAGCTGCCGTTTAGTATACCGCACATTTTCGGTGACGATTAATGTGTTCTATACCGTATTTACTCGATTGAGCGCCGCCGCAAATTTTTTTTCCGTAGACAGTCGGACTCCTCATTGATAGTCGGACGCATCATTGAACCGCGCCCTTACACAAAATATTCAGCGGATACTTTTCTTATCAGATGCGCCTTCCCAGTGTGTCTTGCGCACGCAACTGGTGATTTCAAAATATTGTATTGTTTGGTTGAGATGTCAAAATCTGAGCAGGACACATCGTGTGGCTTCATATCTTGTGTGGTGATAACATCTAACATATTTTATTAAGTTATATTCGCCATTTCCACTTGCTTTTCTTTACTTTTGCAACTGTTTTTTGTAACTCTTTTCGGAGCGATTGCAGAATACCCGTCCACTTTTTAGACTTTTTAATTTAAGCTATGCCTTTCAAACATGGACATGATGTATTAATACATCTATATTTATTCTCAATAGATTAATAATAAATACATTGATAGTCTCATAGTCTAGTAAGTGATAGATTAAAATCTCATGGTGGTAAAGGTAGCTACGAGGCATACAGTGATTTAGCATTAATAGATTAAATTGTCATAGTGTTAAAGGTAGCTCTATATATTCTAGTGGATACGCGTGATACGCAGTCAAGTCGTTATTTTGAGAACGAGGCATACATTACATTTAGATTAGCATTAGATCAAATTATCATACTATAGGTAGCTCTATATTTTAGCGGATACGTGGATACGCAGTCAAGTAGTTATTTTGAGATCAAGGCGACAGTTAGCATTAATAGATTAAATTCTCATGCTATAGACTGTCGCCTTGATCTCAAAATAACTATGCTTAATATGCTTTATAATATAATTTTTTTCTCCCAGCGACGCTAATTAATCATAATCTGTCAAACACTAATGTCCGGTTGTGAGGAACATATTTACATATTACACCACATTTAACTATTTAAAAATAGTTAAATGTGGTGTAATATGTAAATATGTTCCTCACAACCGGACATTGGTGTTTGACAGATTATGATTAATTAGCGTCTCTGGGAGAAAAAAAATTATATTATAAAGCATATTAAGCATAATAATATTAAACATTAAAAGTCTTGCATGATATTTCTTTTATAGTATCAATTCGTAATATTGTCTTAGTAATTAGTTTGTGTATATTAGAACGAGGCAATAAGATCTTGTATATACGCCTCCAGTGAAATGTGGCTGGGCTACATGATATGATATTACTAGTGGACGGGTATTCTGCAATACTTCTATTTGTGGAAAGTGGTTTTGATGGTCGCTTTGAATCTTCCAATATTTCCTTGCACGCTAGTTATCTTATACTGATTCTGTTCAATTAGGATGGTATATAGTTTTAATTCGCAATAACAGTTCTTGAGTATTTTCGGAACCAGAAAAACAAAGTTTGTAGATTTGCTATAGCATCGCGAAGAAAATCTTTCCACACGTGGTCGACAGGGGCCGCGGAGACGGGGGGGCTGGGGGGGCTTAAGCCCCCCCCCCCACTTTTTTTGACAGCCAAAATTATTAAAATAGAAATCTAAATGAAACTTTCTAAATTAATTAATTGGGGGTTTTATTGATGATTTAGCCCCCCCATTCTCTAATACGCTCCGCGGGCCCTGGTGGTCGAAGACTGGAACAACGCGGAATGATGGACATATGGTATACCAGTGGGTTATGCAGGGTATGAAGGGATTGATCGATAACGCGCGGAGGCCTAGACGCGGATCAATGATGCGTCAGACTATCAATGAGGAGTCCGACTGTCTATGGAAAAAAAATTTGCAGCGCCGCCCCCGATTGAGCGCCGCCCCCGAATAAGCGCCGCATTTGAGATCAAATTTTTTTAAAGAGCGCCGCCCCCGAATGAGCGCCGCACTAAACGGTGGAAAAACTTTTTCCGTCAAAATGGGGGAAATTTAGAGCCGTTACGTTGTGAAAACCCGGAATGCCGGAATATCACGGAATATCACGGAATATGGCGGAATATCACGGAATATCACGACATTTTCCCAGAATATACTGGACATCAAGATATTTTTCGATGGTAGCCATGCGACTGTTTATAAACATAGACGTCTGACAACATATTTCAGTACAAAAGTGATGGATCTTTCCCATTTTGACGGTAAGTAACAAACAATAACTCTATACTGGAAGTTTTATATGTTATTTACTATTATTATTACTAGTGTTCATCAAAAATTTTGAATCAATATGATTTTAAAATTCCTCCTGAGTTACGTCTTGAAAAATAAAAGTGCTGACGTCAGCATTATTTTCGAACGCCTTCAGATCTGTGTTATACCATAGTTAATAGAATATATGGTTTGGAAACTCATTAGAATAACAATATAACTCATTATCGATGTTAACCAACGTTTTTTTCATAAATATGTTTCTTCACCGTCGCGTGTGTATTGTATTTTTGCCAAATCCACCAATACCAATTTCTAATTTATCCTATTGTTCGAGTCACGGACAGGCAACTTTCCTAAACATTGCTATTGGTTAGATGGGCAAAAATACAATACGCACGTGACGGTGTGAAGGACTAGATTTATGAATAAACGTTCACTAACATAGATAATGAGTTATACTGTTATTCTAATGAGTTTCCAAACCGGCCAGGGCCTTAGCGAGGGGGGTATTGGGGGGGGGGTTAACCCCCCCCCCAACTTTTGTAGAATTAACATATTCGGGAAATCGGGTTGGCCAGTCGGAAAATTTGATGGCAATAATAGTATAACAAAATTTTAGTTGTTGAAACAGAAAATATTATAAAATGGTATAAACCATTGGTATAAACTGATTTACAAAATCACGGCATTTACATGGATAACGTAAAACAAATCGTAAATCAGTAAATGTTTTTCGGTTTATTACTTCTCAGGGCCGTAGCAGTTGGGGGAGGAGGGATTGGGGGCATCAGCCCTTTTGCTGATAATCATTCTTTCTTCTGCTGATAATCATTCTTTCTTCAAAATCATGCACACCTTTATCATTTAAATAATATACCTTTAAAATACTGACAATAGACTAGAAGTGTGCATCGGATCGGACGTTTATAATCCGACAATTGCCTAATGTTTAAAATCCGATCCGAAATTGTTTAATCCGAATCCGATCCGTTCCAAGTTTTGAAAAAGAATTCCAATTCGATCCGATCCGAAGAATTCTTTAATAAAGTGAATTTCTCATTCAAGTTGAAATATTTAACCAAATAAATATAAAAGCAAGAAATACATATCAAGAAGCTGACAAAGTGACGTCCAATTGACTGAGTATCAAACGAATAATGCAGCGACAACCGCGATGATACTTTGATAAATGCATGGATAATTAATTCTTGCGATAATGCATGGATAATTAATTCATTTTATTTCGGACATCGAAGTCCGATCCAACTACGAAACAATTTTATTAATCCGATCTGAAATTTATATTTTGGTTCCGAAATCCGAACGAATCCGATCGGATTCGGATCGGACTTGCACACCTCTACAATAGACCTTTCCCCTTTTGAGTGAAATTTTGATATAGACAAGCCTGGACAAAAATTTTACCACAGCTTGAAAGAGCATCACAAAATTAGTAATATTCCGAAGTTTCGTTGAATGTTGTAAAATGCGGATAATATAGCCTTGCGAAGTTTGCCGTTTTTCAGTCATTTTGCATTACAAACGGGAAATTGATAATCAGATGATCTAACTGATTATACAAAATAACAGTAACTCCGAATAACATTTTGATTTTTAATCGACGTTTCGACTAGTTTGCAGTCATCCTCAGGATTAAGAATTTTCTTAATCCTGAGGATGACTACAAACTAGTCGAAATGTCGATTAAAAATCAAAATGTTATTCGGAGTTACTGTTATTTTGTATTTTCTTAAAATACTGAGTGGTTCCCGAAACTGATTATTAATTTCCCATTTGTAATAGAATGACTGAAAAACGGCAAACTTCGCAAGGCTATATATCCGCATTCAGTTACAACATTTCACAACGAAACTTCGGAATATTACTAATTTTGTGATGCTCTTTCAAGCTGTGATGAAATTTTTGTCTAGGCTTGTCTAAATCAAAATTTCACTCATAAGGGGAAAGGACTATTGATTAATTTTAAGCGGCTACATTATCCATGACAAACCACAAAGAATCATATTACCCATACTCTTTCCTGCAATATATAGTTAATTAAATACGTTTTCGACCATTTAGTTCTACTAAATTGTAAGCAAATTGTAAATTTCGACATACTAAAACTCTATTAACAACTCGAACCGACTTGACCACGTAGCTCAGTTGGCAGAGCATTGGACTAGTATCCCAATGGGCAAAGGTCGCGGGTTCGACTCCCACCGTAGCCAAGCAAACTTTTCAGCTTGCCCGCTGTGGATGCATACTCAGAGCATGGATAATAAAATAAACTTATTTTATTATCCATGCTCAGAGTAACGTCCCAAATATATACTAAAACTCTATTTTCTGACCATCAGAATTCTGTAAAAACTTTCCCAAAGTCCAGAAAATGGCATTTCAGAGAATCTAAATTAAAAAATTTCCTCGGGCCTTCGGCCCACGTTCTCAACCCCCAATAAAAAAAGGGCTTCCTATGGCACTGCATGCTTCTGTAATACGTCTGTGCGTAAACTATGTGCATTTTTGTTTGTAAATTGCATCTTCATTTTCCGGACAGCGAACACCTTCGTGACTTCGTATGCCATAAAATATTCGAATATTTTTTTCGTCATTCGGAAATTTTTGGTCTACCCCCAACTACATGCTAGCTACGGCCCTGAAACCGGCATCTCTTCTGTTAACTATGGTAATACCATAGTTGCCTCGAAATCCTTTGTCTCGCGAGGTACGATTAATCACTAATTTACCTCATTACCCATCCATACGCTTTTGTCTTCTAAATTTCCCTCATCAAGCATGCAGGGGAAAATTAGAAGACAAAGAAATCCTTTGTTTTCAACTTGAAACAGTTGAAACAGTTGAAAACAGTTTAGTTGAAAACAGTTTAGTTGAAAGCATTTCATGTCGTTTGCGGCTATCGTTGCTTCCAGAAATGGGACAGAGGGCTCGAATTAACATATCTGAAACACTGTGATTGCCATCATTAAAATGTCTGGCAACAGGTTGGTTAGCGTCATTGCCAGTAACTGCACGCCGATGCTCACCAAACCTTGTCCTTAAACATCTTCCAGTTTCCCCAATGTAAAGCATGCCACATCTGCTGCAAGAGATGCAGTAGATGAGATGGGAGGAGGCGCATGTGAAATGGTGCTTGATGTGAAATTCAGATTTAGGTGCCGAAATAATAGTGGTGGAATCTATAAAATCACAGGTTTTACATTTCGACGACAGGCAAGGAAAAGTGCCTTTCTGTGACGCCGAAGCCTGTGTTAGGGAGCTATGGACAATGGTTTCATGGATATTTTTGCTGTGTCGAAAAGAGACTAATAAGGAAGATGTTTCAGGGTCGTTTTTCAAAATATGGAAATTCTTGTTGATGACATCTCTCACTTTGAAATTGAAAGGATGATAGTTTAATACTAGGGGGATTTTGTTGTTGCCTGTGACATTAGACACAGGGTCTGTTAGTGTGTCAGAACGGGGGATTTGGGTAGCCTTCGGAAAGGCAGTGTCTAATAGAGAGGTAGGATAACCACGCTGGACAAAAAAGTGTCTCATCTCCAGACTTTTGGCCTGAAAATCTTCGTCTTCACTGCAGATGCAGCGAAGACGAAGGAACTGAGAAAAGGGAATCGACCTTTTGGTGTGGTTGGGGGTGGGAAGAGGAAAATAGAAGATAGCTAAGGGAGTCAGTGGGCTTGTAGAACACAGAAGTAGATAATTTGTTACCATTGATTGATACAAGGTTATCTAAGAAGGATACACTGGTCTCACTGATCTCCCATGTGAACTGGAGTGCTGAATGAAAATTATTGACAAAGTTAATAAAGCGT